AGGCATTCAATATTCCTGAGATTTTTAGACCGGATAATTTCCTACATATTTGTATTTGTTTGCCATATTTGGATTTTTTTTCGTATTCTTTTGTGGTTTCACTTTATAACCCACCACATATCGCTCACATGGCATGACAAATAAATAATAATTAATCAATAAACGCAGCGGCCACGATGGACTGTGAAACGACCGTGGTTTCGTTTGCCTCACAACAGTTTTGCACAGTTGCTTGGCTCCACAATAGCAGGATCTTGCATGATAATTACAAGAAAAATGTCACGAACTTTTGGTATACCCTGATGGAAACAATAAGTTATTGATCATATAAAAATTAAAGTTCGGGAACTAAAGAGAACCCATTCCAAAATTCAGCACTGCTAATTTTTCACTATTCCAGCGTCTTGCCAAGATTCCCGGCTGGTCTTTGGTGGTGGTCGGCGATACTAAAACACCATCTAACTGGTCGTTAGAAGGCGTTCATTTCCTTAGTCTCCACGATCAACGACGTTTAGGTTGGTGAAACTCAACTTATTCCATTTCTTTGATAAAAAAAGCTAGTTAAACTAAGGCCGCTTGGTGAGGCTTTTTGTGGTGGGGTTTAGGTGCACAGTTGCAAATGTAATTGTGAATTACTTTTTGTGAGGTAGCATTCTCAACTTTTTCGGGGGATTTCACGCTTAATCTGGAGGTTTGACTGCTTCTGTTCTGGAGAGATTTTTCTAGTTTGTCAGTCTTCGAAACTACTGAGGTCAAACGATAGACACATTTTTGCTGTTCCAATTAATAATTGCGTAGAAAAGTTGCGGAACAATTCGGGATATTAACGACGCGTTTGGCCCTGGAACGAGGAAATATAACCAGCGATGAGAGCCTTGAAGATGGCAGGATCACCGCCGCATGTCGCCAACGAAAATCAACACGAAGAATATGCGCTCAACGTTAAAGGACATCCCCTGGAAACTAAAGACGAGTCCCGCGATTGTATACGATGGATAGCGCCGTTCAATTACAAATCTGTAGTCGCTAAATGACTCTCCAAGGAAGAGAAAAAAATCAAAAGAAAACACATGAGAAACACCTTAAGTGAAGACCTGGCGGCTTCTCTGAACGAGTGCTCCGGGTCTGCTCGTTTCATGCCAGCGGAGCGATATCCTGCCACCTATGGCTCCCCAAGCAATTCTCACGCAACTCAGTGCTAAACACAATTTCATAAGGCGATATTTGGTACCTACTAATAAATAGTAGCAGGGATGCTGAATAGTGGTGGTGGTTTCTTGGAGGTCTGCAACTGGCCTGATCCACTACAGATTCATGGATCCGGGCAAGGCCATTAAAGATGAAAGGTGCTGTCAAGAGTACAGCATCTTTGTGTGAAACACATGGAAGGGTCGTATTTGGCCGCTGGAGAGGGGGGGAGCGTATTTTGTCGTTGTTGGGGGAAGGGGAGGTTGTATGGTGCCCTATGAGAGAAATTTGCCGCGTTGGGAAAGAATATTCGGTTGTTGACTTTTCGTGATTTTTCCTTTCACACTGGTATATACCCCCCCCTTTCCCCGCTCGACATCCAAAATTTTGGGAAAGAAGGGAAATTTTCGGAAATTTGTGGAAACGAAAAAAACTCAGTGCGGAAGCTGGGAAATTTGAGCCGAAGTTGGGTAGGTAGGTTTAGGGAAGGGGGGGGGGGGAGTAGAGGATTCTAAGGACACCACCATTTCACATGTCACGATGAACAAGACGTTGGCGAAAACATCATGAATTTCAGCTCGTGAGCCCTATAGCATCCACAGTAAGGGGGGAGACATTCCTGAGTGTGTCGTTTGCCACTTTGGCCAGCAGGATGTAGTCGGCAGTTATCTACTTGATGCACTGTCAAAGCTGTGGAAGTGAGTAGATAGGGGAAGAGGTCCTAGTATCATGGAAGTGCGAATTTGAATTTTTGCTGACAATAACAGAGCAGGGAGGCTGAGATCTTACCGCACAAGACATTGAGCATTCTGAATTACCGCAAAGCGACCCTTCTAGATAATAGAAATCAGAGAGCTTGCTGGTCTAACCCGTGAGCTGCCGGCCCTTTCTCGGACCGCTTTTTTTTTATTTGGGCGGGCCAAATCGGATCTACCACTGAGAATCGAGGAGAGTAACTAATAGTAGTCAGTTTACGGTTAAGTGGTCCCCAGGCTGGTCGACCCCACATCGCGAGTGCGCATGCAAGTGCTCTTCCGAACACCGTCACAATCCCAGGCAAAGTTCAGCACCGCGCGGCGTATACCAAAGAATACTAACGCAGTGTTTTTCCGAATCACTCAGAGTGTCCACTCACTAGCTCTGATTTAATTCAAGAGCGCCGACGTTTTGAAAGTTGTTGTGGCTGACCTTTGCGAAGCAGACGCCTTCATGCGACTCTGACCGTCTGCGCTCTAATCCTTGGACTTGACTGAAGAACCTTCTTCCTCCGTATGCTGGCGCTCAGAAGCCGCCGTATAGTAAGTATGTCATTATTATCTTTGTACATATTCAGGTTATAGCATCGAAAAGGACATGCCGTACAAATCCTATACAAGGAAAAACATTGGATACCTATACGCTATAGAGAACGGCGCACAATGGATTTATGATACGGACGATGACAACAAGCCTTATGGTATACTTCTTTCTCTTTTGAGGGAAGGGAGGGCGGTCTGCAACAAGAATGAGTCAAGTTTCGCTTTTCTGTGCCTCCCACTAGAAGAGCATTGACTTTGGACCTTGTCGCGGTTCGGGGAGCAGCTGTACTACAAGCTCTCTACCACGACAGATCTGTAATTACGAAACCTGTGGCTTTCCAGTGGCTACCTCAGTGTCTTTCGGCGAATGATACCGCTTTCCCGTGACGAAATTAGCCACGTCTCTGAAAGCACTATCACTGCTCTTCCGTAGAGGATTGGGGGGCGAGTTCAACCCGAGGGATATGTCTCGCGTGGTGGGTCCGACCTTCTTGTCTGTCCTCTGGTCTCCGTGGGTCCATGGAGCTTGCAAAATTTGGAACAGCAGTCGTTTCCATTATCTACCCTTCCACAATAATACCAACAGCTGATAACCATCCTGTGAACAACAAAAACCTTACCAGCACTTTGTCGGGCCCACAGGCCGGACGCTCTGTCAAGACTCCTTATCACCATCACCCATATAGTATAATTCGCTCTGTCTGTTTGTTCTGTTGTATCGTTTGTTTGTTTCTAAGTTGTGTTTAAGTATTGTCCGGGAAATTTCGTCGACTTGGAAAGGAACGACTTGCAGATGGTACAGTCCACACGGGGTGGGGATGGCGTTAGGGCATGCGGCAAGAAATAAGAAAGCACACTTGACTTATGGCAAGCCGCCCGCCACAGTCGTGCGGGGGGGCGACTCGCGGCTGAGTTTGGTTCCGCTCAGCAAAAAGTGTCATGATTCCGACTTCCGGAGCAGCTTGAAAGATGGGGAAAAAAAGGATAAGCGTACTAAGGTATAGCTGTGGTCAGCACACGTCCAAAATGGGCGGGGGCATCGTATCATGGTCGGCGCGGCGCTCTCGCTCGGCACATATTCAGTAAAAACGTCTCGCGAGTGTTGGTAGAGTCGCAAAACTCAGTGCAGATGTAAATAGTCTGGGTGCGATAGTAGGGCGATGTCAAAGCTGAGTTGTGAGAACCCGCTCCACATCGGCGGTGGCTTGCCCTTAACGCAGTGTATTGCATTCAAAAAGTTTGAGCTCGTCGTTCCAGAACACTCCAAGCACCGGCGAAAAAAAAGGGGCAGGTCTAAGGTCATGCAGAGGCGTCGCTGGTGGGATTGTGCGGGCAAAAACAGTGTGGGCGGGGTCTGCTCATGACTGGCGGGTCAGACGAAAAAAAACCTGTGGAAAACGTTCCAGAGCGACTGCGAAGAAACCGGAATACGGGATTAAGGGTCAGCAAGGTCGCCGGTGAGCATTCTGCGGGCACAAAAAGTTGGGCGGGCCAAGCCGAGGTGGGCGGAGTCACACAAAAGGATCGCAAAACAGTCCATGCAGCACTCGAAGACCGGAACTAAAGCTGAATTCCAGTCAGCAAGAGGGTCGCGCAGTGTAGGAGTTGGGCAAAAACATTGTGGTCGAATATTAACTTATTTCTGCCGAACAAGGTTGTTAGATAGAACCTTTTATTGGCCCGACGTTTCGACCTTCTCGTCTTCTTCAGAGGCCTGAAAATGGCTCGAAGCTCTATATTTGTCACCTACCCGACCAAGCGCCTCTGATCACGCAACGTCTTCACATCCTGTTGCAGTAAAACGTGCAGTCATCAGGAACATGATCACGACTGCAACCAGGATGTGCACAGGCGAGGAAGAACGACAGGAATCGAGATCTTTAGCTTCGAAAAGTTGCTGAAGAAAATGGTTATTGCCGGTAACGAGCACTATGCGTAGGACATCGAAATGCCGGCCTTCGACATGTATTCACGCCAAGCGAAGCTACCCTTTGCTGCCTTACTTTCATTTCGATGACTATCACGCACTAATACGTCCCAGTATTGTGACGGGACACAGTTGCGCTGATGATGTTGTCTTTGCTTTCGGTGAACATTCCCAACAGCAACATCAAACGCCAACTTGTTCGCAACAGACTGTACGACAGGCAGTGCATGACACCAGATTGCGTTATTTGCCCATATGGAAGGGTAGGAGATTGTGAGAAAACCTGGGGTAATTTATCAACTTGAATGCAGGGCTTGTAACAGCACGTACATCGGAGAAACAGGAAGGGACTTAGCTACTCGCATCAATGAACACCTAGCTGGAAAGAGGCGTGATATGATGACAACCCCTCTTGGCAAGCATAAGGTTGAGGAGCATAACGGGAATGACTTTGATGTTAAGTGTACAATACTCGGGTACGAGACGCGAAGATATCTTCAGGAAAGCCCTGCGAATCGTTTGGATTTTTATGTGAGAAATCACCAAGGACTGTACTGCTCCGAACGAAGTACCTCAATTACAAATGAGTTCTTGCCGTTTGTATCACAGTGCGAGCTACAGTAAGGGCGACGTGCACAATGACAATTTTGACTTATGTGTCACGATGAGACTCCAGTGAGACTCATTCGTCCTTACTTACTTTACTGACACATAGCGTGAGCTAAGCTCCGCACGGTGGAACCTCGGTGAGTTGTGCGCAGTTATTACTGGGTTACTTCTGGGCTTTCGGACACGACGTCGGAAACGCTAGAGTGGGGAAGGCGCTTGGTCGGGTAGGTGACAAATTGAAAGCTTCGAGCCATTTTCAGGCCTCTGAAGAAGACGAGAAGGTCGAAACGTCGGGCCAATAAAAGGTTCTATCTAACAACCTTGTTCGGCAGAAATAAGTTAATATTCGACATCATGCCAAGGTTACAAGAAGGGACAACTTGGAGATTATTAGTGCGAATGCCAGCCCGAGGTGGCGGATAGCCAACGAAATCTTTTGCAAAACTTCCAGAGCACTCGAAGACCGTTGAAAAAAGTGGCACTGAAGGTCAGCAGAGGTCGCTAGCGAGAGATTGTGCGGCACAAAAGTCGGGGCGGCGCCAGCCCGAGGGGTGGCGCGAGCTAGACTAAAATTCTTTTAAACTGCCCAGAGCACTTCAAAGACTGGGAAAAACGTGGATTAAGGTCAGCAGAGGGTCGCCGGTGAGGATTGTGGGGCACAAAAATTTGCGGGCGGAGCCTAGACCCGAGTGCGGCGAGCCAGACCAAAATCGGGAAAACTGTCCCAGAGCACTCGAAGACCGGAAAAAAGTGGACTTAAGTCAGCACGCCAGGTCGCGAGTGTCAGCAACTGTTGCTGCAACAAAAATTGGTGGCGACGACCAGCCCGAGGTGGGCGGAGTCAGACAAAAGATCGGCAAAACGGTCCCAGAGCACTCCGAAGACCGGAATAAAGTGAATTCAGGTCAGCATGGGGTCGCCGATTGAGAAATGTGGGGTATACATATGTGGGCGGAGCCAGCCCAAGGTGCGGGTCAGAACGAAAGAAACTGTCTGTAAAACGGTTCCAGAGCACTCCGAAGACCGAAAAAATGATTAAGGTCAGCAGAGGTCGCCGGTGAGGATTGTGGGGCACAAACATTGTGGGCGGCCGCCGAGGTGGGTCAGACGAAAACTGTTTTCTGAAACTGGTTCCAGAGCCACTCTGAGACGGAATAAAGTAATTCAGGGTCAGCATGGGGTCGCCGATTTGAGAAATGTGGGGTAACATATGGGGGGGCCAGTCGAGGATGGGCGAGCAGAAGAAGATCGGCAAAACTTGTCCCAGAGCACTTCAAACACCGAAAAGAAAAGTGGAATTAAAGGCGGAACCCGACATTCAGACTTTTGATGAGTTGTGCGGCTCAAATACTTATAACAAGGTAGCAAGTAACCCCTCAGTAAAGAAAAATCAGCAAGAAATCATAGGAAAGGCTCTATATAGAACCCTTGCCTAACTGAGTGTACGTCAGGCAAAGAGAATAAAAAACAAAAACGAGGGCGATCGCACCGAGTTCTCACATTGCTTGATATCAGCTGTTTTCCCTTATCACCTCACTCTCACCACTCGACGTGGAGAGAAGCAGCAACGAAACAACCGCACCATCAGGTAACCACTAGAAATGAATGGTGGGCGGTGCCAATGATTGTAGGTTGGGTCAATGATAAGAACGACGCATCGATGGCTTCCTCACGCGTTTTTGGCGCCGCAGAGTGGTGTATGTTGTTGCCTCAGCGGACCTCACTTGCCTCATCACGAAGGAGAGCGAAAACACCTGAACGCGCGCGCTGCCTTTAAAGGGTTCAGCATTAGGCCCGTCAACAGTGATGATTGTGGGCAGGGCACAAAAATTGGGGGCGGAGTTCGAGGTGGGCGGAGCCAGACCAAAATTCTGCAGAACGGTTCCAGAACACTTCAGACACCGGAAAAAAGTGGGAGTGGCATTGAGGTCAAGCAGGGGTCGCCGTCGAGAGTTGTAGCGCAATAAAACATTGATGGGCGGGCCCTTCTCCGAGGTCGGGCGAATCAGGACGAAGAATCTTGTAATAGTAAGGTCAAGAAGTAAACGCTTCAGACACCTCGCGAAAAGAGTGGCAGAGTAACAGAACAAAAAGGCGGCATATCAGTTGAAGTGTTAGAAATGTGGAAGAAATTACGCGTGGCGAAGCGGCGCGCCCGGCGCAGCCGTTGGCCGTATCAAGAGGCACCGCTGGCGTTAGCCGGCGAGCCGACTGGTACACTATAACTAAACACTGTATTTTTATTATATTAACTCCGTTTACTGCGGTAACTTCCATTCTTCCTACCCTCATATCCTGCCGTGATTGCACGACCTCCATCATCCTAGTAATGAACGGCACCTTGCTGCTAACAAGCACAACTTCGCCGATACGTGCGCCTCGGGCAGACGCGGCGCACGGCTTCGAACCACGCCCAGCACTACTAGAATTAGACAGCATGTGCCCGACCACACTGAAGTGCAGGCACGGGGCACCTTACGGTCCCCTTGACATCATGGCGGCAGAGAGTACCCTACGGCTCCTTTCCCTTCCAAGGGCAAGAAGCGCGCTGACAGACTGGCAGCACTCTTATAAGGCTCCTGCTGAGCGGGCCACGACGCGGCTTGCGGTTCTTTGTCACCTATTCGACCGTTTGGCAGGTCAGAGCCGAGGCGCATGGCACCCGGCAACCGCAGTCGCAAATGCAACGGGCATTCCTTCATCTACCCTATCTCCGAAAAGGCAGACGAGTAGAAAAGAGGTTTTTTCTGGCTTTGGTCACTACCCTCCCCCTCACCTCAAGTATCTCCTCCCTGGTTTGCGTAAGAACACCGATCATGATCACAAACGCCTCTCAGGTCCACTGCATGACTTCAGTAAGTAAAATCCCAGAAAGCCTAGTATTGGTATATCACCAGTCTTCGCTTCGCTAGGCACACTTCATGATGGGAACGGAATTTGTTCTTTCACCTAGCTATCCATAATGCGCTATTTTCGTCGAGTAGTATTTAGCAGTTGGAGCGACGCACGCGCGAGCTCACATCCAGTTGCCACGCGATCAGCTCGAGCAATGGATTGGGGATAGTACTCAGTGGCTGTCTTGATAGGTGAAGGTCATCTATCGCAATCACAACAACATCTTTAGAATGGCCTACTTTAATTATGGATCAGCCTTGCCTGCTACTAATCCTTATATCAACCGTGCACTACGCTCCCCCCTCCCCTCACCGTTCCCCCTCCCTACTGCATCCTTCCCTTGCACATGCTCAGGTCCGGCTGAGCACGTGCAAGGGGAGAAAGCAGAACGCACTGGGCCCCCCCCTCCCCCTCCTCGGTTCCATCCCACTCTGCCCCCGCACGATTGATACATCCGCACCAATCGATAGCGGTTTTCCTAGTGGTCGTTTTCTCCTCTCACTAACTCAAGCCGGTGAGGCAGTCTGTGCCGAACAGCATACATACATACAAACCTGCATACAAACATACAAACCGACACAGAAAATTAGTGGTTTACAGAATGGAAGGATTACTAATTCGCTCTTCATCTCATCCATGCCTTTTTGCTATCGTTAATGATTTCCGGTCTCGGCTTGGAACAGTTTGATTACTCGGAAGAGCAGAGCGATTCGTTATGGTCGTGCCTTTCTTGAAAAGAGCAGGAAGATTACAAAATAAGTATCCAACCTTATTGGGAATATTTGGCAATTGAGAAGGCGCGTCTACGGACTCAGTTGTGAAGGAGGTGGAGGCTGTCGCTGTAAGAGTGCAGGCAGCAGTAGGGGAACGTTGAAGCACCTGAATCCGAAGGTGACGCTGCCCTGGACCGTCACCTTCGTTCGGTAGATTGTATAGCGTCACAGAGTACAAACGAACCCCGCTGGATTACACCCCCTCAATTCTTCGAATACGGCGTTCATGTTACACATAATTAAATAGGCCTATGCAGGAGCAGAAGTTCCAGGTTATTAACAGGAAGATCCTCCTCTATTCCTTTCGAAGTTGTTCTGTTTGCAAACGTAAGGGTGACCCAACAATTTTCACTCAATCTATTTTTTAATGGACTTTCTCTGGGTCGTGTACATGAAGTGAGCAACCAAGACGACCGGCGGCTTCAGTTGACCGCGGCTATTCGTCCCGTACATCGGTCATTGCGGGAAGTGGTGTTCAATGAATTCATGCATGACTGGAACAATTGATCTGCATTTTTTATTGCTGTCTTAGGCCCAATGAAAAAGTTAGTGAATTTAATCATTCTAGAACATAATTTTGCAACATCAAAGCCTTTCCATTTGGTTCGCGGTTGGACAATATGTCAATAGCCTTTTTGAATTAAGTTTTAATGCCTAACTGTTTCGATTTTGCCCAATAACTGTGCAGACAACAGTACACTCAACCGCGGGATCCTGGTCCTTGCCGTAAAAGAAAGCGAAAGGGTCCTGTCGCCATGTAGCGTGTCACTTTGACTCACAGCCCATCAAAACCTGTTCGCCGTAGTGCCCACGGCAAGCCACACACCTAACGCATAGCCGAACGCGCTTATTTTGTGCGCCTTCACTTCTGCCGTTAGTTCCTGATACGAGTGAGTGTGTCTTTGCGATGCCTCAGGATCGACAGAAACTGCGCCGGACTTTGCGCACGTACTGTGGGTATGCGAGAAGCACTCGCACTCGGATATACTATCCTCTAGCCCATTCCCGTGCGCTTGAGCGAAGAAAGTGGGAAGCTACCGCGGCTGCGGACCCACTTACCTCGCACATGACAAGGTCTGTCCTCAAGAGGTGAGTGTGCAGTTTCTCTTCGATATACACTTACATTTTCCTCCTCCGCCGTAATTAGACGTTGCTTCAAAAGCATTCAGGCAATCAAATGAGAAGCTCTTCAACCCCTATCAATTTTTCGGTAACGCAGGATCTTGGCCACGAGGCTTTCCCCTGGAATACTTACAGGTGATTCCAAACGAGATTGAGATTAGCGTTCTGCTGCTCAGTAGGACTATTTCGAATATATTCGTAGCCCATTGTCTTGCACAAGCTTTTCAGAACCATACCAATGATCGCGACCAATTCTGCCTATGTCACAAAATGCGTACGGCTGCAGTACAGCAAGGTCTCGTACACAACGATCCTGACGTCGATGCTGTATTCAGGTATGCACAAGTTAACACGGGGGAGGGGGGGGGGTGTATGACGTGAGTTCGCGATGTGAAAGGACTTTGTTCTCCACACCAGTGGACGTATATATAGAAAGCTCTACAGAAAAATATTTACTCTTCGAAAAAACCCAGTACTTCAACTAGCGTAATTTCACTTGAGCAACTATCACTAGCTGTTATCAGGCTACTAATGCTGACAAACGAAGCGGTCTTAACGAGGAATTCAGCAGAATGGCACCGCCGATAGTGCTCGAAGCAGGTTAGTTTGTTTTACAAGTGGCTCTTGATTTGGACGGTTGGCGAAGGTTGGCGAAGGGATTACTCTGTCAGGGCGTGCAGCAAATTTTTTCCGACACAAAAGAATAGGAAATTGTGGTTTTCTTAATTCTATTGAAGAAGTCACAGGAAAATCTTGAAAATATCCTCTCGTTTTTAAAGAGCAGACACGCAACAAAGAACCTTTGAGACCACTCCTTTGTTTTCTCCCGGTTCCTGTTGAGAGGACTCGCAAAGAAAAGCAGCGAACTTTGAGTGATTCCAGTGGCCAGTACACCACTTTCGCTGGCTGCCCAATAAAATACTCTGTCAGGGCGAGCAATAAACGTTTATTTACACATCCGACTCCCTCGATACATGTATCTATGACTTTGCATATAGAAGCGAGATGAACGGCGGGAAAAGAAATGGAGGTAACTGCAACTCAAACGCAACTACAGAGGTCGTGAAGAATTCACCATCTATTCATAAATCGTTGAGGTGTAGGTTTTCGCCGAAGGTGCAAGCGCATTACTCATTCCACATCGTCTTCGTTTGTTACGTTGAATTCTGCTGTCAATTCACAAACAGCTGTAATAGCTTTTGTGTTCCTGGCGGGTTACCACAATTTCGGTGCATCTCGTTAGTGGCAGCGTCGCAACGACAGAAGACTTGGTGTTTTCAAGCTTATCGTTTATCGTTGCTCCCTCATGGCCTCGTTACAAGCGCCTGTTTCCGATGATTCCTTCGTGATGATCGACACTTCTACGGCGTATGATGAGAAGGGTCCCCATACACAGGTCCAGCACTCTGTTCAGCGTGATAACTACATTTTTTTTTGCGCAACTGCGTTTTGTACCTCTCCTCTTCGATCTTTCTGGGGCTATTGCTATTATTGTGAATTGCGAGTTTTCATTTTCATTGCGGACCCCCGTACTAAACGCATCTCCCGATCATTTATCATTTATCTAGAAATCCATGAGTATTTCCTTTTTTCATCGCGTCATGAGGTAAGCATCTTTCTGAACGAAGATGTGTTTTGACAGCAGTGGAACATGAAAGGAGAGAAAAACCAATCCAATAAAAACGCTGCATAGAAACGATTTAATGACACACCATGTGGGTCATGCGATCCGGTAAGTGCTGAATCAAAGTTCGTTCTTCAAACAACGAACTTCGACTAGATGTGACTGACTGATGTCTAGTTCGACTCCTCCCGTCCACATTTATGTCGTTTTGTAGAACTTCCTTTTTTTCAAAGTTTCCGCATTTTTGGGATGCCACGCGAAACTCACTATGTGAAGTGACACACTCCACCCACTCTGTAGGAAGCCCTTACTTTCGCGAAATGCCTCAAATTAGCCAGTTAGAGCATCAACTGATAGTCCAGATTCTCTTTGATCAGTGAGAACAAAAAAAAAAACAGGAAAATTTTGTCCCGAGTAACGAAGGACTCTGTCAATTTTAGATTGACGGCGTTCACGGCACTGGACATCGTTTCAAATTCCTGCTTAATCGACCGCCAGCCCTGAAAGAGAATCTCGGTACGACCCCATATCTAATTCCCGGTTTCTCTTCAAGTGAAGCGGAGCGGATGTGCAAAATGCCCCACCCAAGTTGAACTACGCCTAGAAGGTCAGAAAAATATAGATACCTTCCTTATAACTATTTCAGGAACGTACGCACCATGGAACTCGCAGAACACTTTGTTTCATAAGAAAGCCTTTTTCACGCTTTTCTTGCCTACAACAGTGACGTTTCGGTAGGTTTGCCACATATATATCTTGAAGTGCTAGTGATGTCAATTAATAAAATTACTACGTACGGACATATGGCGGTCGTATATAGCCCAAAAGCTTCTGCATATGATCGGAGAGACAGTGGCGTTCTATCCACCCAATGCTGTGCAATACAGAAACGCTCATGATTACTTAGCCGATTTCGAGGATGAAAGGTACGCTTCGCTTTGAGAGCGCCTGGCGCAGGCGTATGCATCGGTCGACGAAGAATAATGGCACGCTAATGCATCTCGGCTCGCGATCACATCGCCTATGGCCAGGGCCAGCATACACGGAGCTGAATGTGCAGTCTGTCTTCAGGAGACCAAATTTCTCCAGGGGGATACTTTCCCGGTCACAAGAAACTGAAGCTAAAAGTTCGTCGAGGAAATCGAGGCGAATTTCAAAAATTGCTATGTGTACTCAGTGAGGTTGTGTTCAAAGCGATGTTTGCCTACGCCCACCTTCAGAAAAGGTTCGAGAAACCCTACGTGCGTTAACTGGATCAGAATGATCCAAATTTTGGCACAAGGAAGTTCCAGAATTACTATTTTCTGAACTAAACCTCTAACAAGTACCACTACAGGGATGTCTACCTCAAATCAGGAAAGCTCATCGAGTTTCTTGATAAATGGAATTGCACACATGCAGAAATGGACAAATGTACTGCGTTGCTTGCACAGCAACTTTGGTAAGTATTTCATATTCCACAATACGACAGGGTGCAACTTGTTTCCCTGAGGTGAACAAAAACAATCAGACCCGCCCCACAGTATCCTTGACCGCAGAAAAAGCCACTGAAATGATATTATACACAACAGCCACAGCCTCAGTCGGCTGGCCGTTTCAGGCAGACGTGTCGTCTCGGGCCCTTCTTTTGGACAACAGCCGATCGATCAGTGATCGATGGCCGGAAGGAAGAAAAGCAGGTAGCCCAGCAACCCTTACGGAGTTGTTATAGTGGGCGCCGTAGTAGCTCGATAATGACGAATGACCCAGGACCAGACCTTATGTAAAACCCCTTTGGGAACAAAACTCTTCTTCTTAAGGTACTATAAACGAGGTGGAGACGGAATTGTCGTTTTCCTTGCTCATTCCTGCGCCGCCTTTTCTACTCCGATGAGAGGGGTCGCCAATGAGGAAAGCACAATCGTAAGGCAATCCGGCTCATGTTATCTATTCGTGCGATGTTGCCCTTGAAGGCCACGCTTCTGCCGATACTAGAAGGCAGGCTCCATTTCCGAGCACAGGGTAATTAAATTTAGAACTGTCTTAGGAACATTTCGGACCCTATTACTTGCATCTGCGAATGGACCTTAACCATGGCGACCTGCGTTATCAGGTGGCGGCAGGAACGTTCATCTGTCTGGTGCCTGCAGTCATGTAGTCCACGATATCCCAGTTTTCTGTATCGCTCGGTAATGATGATCATTTAGGTGTTCTCACCTTCTTCACACCCGTGTATTACGCGGAAAAAAGCGCAAACGAGCTATTTTCCTCAAAGGTCACTGCATTTTCCTCAAAGGTCAACTGCACATGGGGTTATTAAGCAACGAATTGTTCGATTCAGGTAGTCGCAGTATACAGTTCCACTCAGAGGACGTGTCCAGGGAAGGCGTTCATTGCAACTTGGCATACAGTCCTCATCATTACGTACTGTCGGGGCGGTTCAGTGCGGCTGCGTTTGGCGCGGTGCCAAACCCGCTCTCCACCAGTATTTAAAGCGAGCAAATGATATGACTGTATTATATCCTCCGTATTACTCGTTTTCTACCACTTTTTGCTCAGGCGATACGCCGTTTCAACAAAAAGGCTGAGAACGGGCCCTTCAACAGTTCGTGCGCAGCCTCACACCACTGCGCTGACACGCCCCACCCGCCGTCCGCCAATGATGAGGACGTGTGCTTTCTCCAAACAAACTCGCATCGCTTGCCAGCTTCCACAATAGCAGGAGAACGGGCTGACACCGCGCCAAATTCAACTCCGTGGCTTGCCCCAGCATCTTCAGGAGCAAGAGTATGCGATCCTGATCACTGCGGATTGACGTGTGCAACGCGGTCCCAAATGGGTGTTCGGTCTCGATTGCTCTACAATGCCGTGATCGGCTAGGTGGCTCGATTTAGAGGCAGGCCAACCAATGAATGAAACACCACAAGGTGCGAAGCCGCTGATTGTTGAACGATAATTAGAGGTGAATGTGATGTAAAGTGTATGTTCCCTCGAGTCACGACACAAAGGACATTCTCACTTGTTCTGTCGTTAGCGAAGCTCAGCGTTCCATGCTATAGCGATAGTTTTCCGTTTTTTCAGTGAACGCGAATTTTGGGGCTGCTGATGATGCGCTCCTCGTACAGAAATGGTTGAAGGATTTACGGAAGACAGGGTAATTCTTCTGACAAGAACGTCAGCTTCTTTCGAACTTCATAGAATTAAGTCTTTTGAGATAACATATTCAATCATTCATTTGTTTTGACTTTAAGACGACGAATTCAAAATTCGTCAATCCCATTCAGTAAGGCTACACGGAGTAAAGATGTGAAGCGACGACACGGCGCAACAAAAAAAAATAAAAAAAAAAAAAAAAAAAATGAGCGGCACCGTGATAGCGTTGGGGATCCCCACCGAAGCGCGTCTTTTTCGAATGACTGCCCAAGCGGAGAGAAATGATTCACCCCCATCATAAGAAAAGGGTCGTATTCATCCGCTGAGTGAGTCGGGGATGTACTCGCTTATGACTTTCCCTTCCCGCTTTTGGTCCGGTGCACTGCATACCTCCCCTCCCCTCCCTCTCGACGGTGGTTGTACAAGGGAATAACGGGGAAAAATCAAAGGGAGCCAGGAGAATTTAGAAGATGACTGAATTTAGAAAATGAATTTAGAAAGGGGAATGGGAGGCGCGGACGGAGCCCTTACGAGGCAGATTTTCAACCAATAGTATCTCTTGTTACCCCGCCCCCTACCCTCCGAGAACTGTGAAATACTGTAGGAAGTTGACTGGAAACGCTATCAGTGATAAGTTACTGATCTCAAAGCGTATGACGAAATGAAAGAAAACATTGAAACACACTATTGATCTCTCATCTCCTACTTGCAGATATCAGTTCCCACTTCAAAAGGAAACATGGCAATGAATATGTAGCAATCGATGAAAAATCTCGACAAGTGAACTGCCGTCGGGCAGCCGTTGAATTCGAAAACGAACCGGCAGACAAGGAGCAGGTACGATTGCAAGAAAATCGTGGCTCCTATGCCTACTCATAAATAACTCCCAGATTGCCTACGCTAAAATCGGTTTGCGTTTCTGTGGGCCAGGGGATCTACGGAGACGAATGAAACGAAATTTAAATGAAACGAGCAGGAAATGGCTAGTATTCGCTAGCTAATTGACTCGACATCCTGAAGCACTTTTACGTTCAATTCAATTAGGTCCTGCTGCGAACGTCGCACACTTGAATTTCGCTCCCTTTGCAACGCCGCTTCTACTGGAGTGTAGATCCTACCGCACCTAAGCAATCGGAATTAGCCGCTCTGCCTCTGCTCTGAGGTGACCATGAAACACCGTCATTTGCCGGAGCGACGTCGCAAGCGACTTCAAACTAGCGCGGCGAATTACCATTGTCTTCTCACATATCAACCCACACCTGCGATTAGCCTATTCTATATTGTGGCATGAGGCATTCTTTCTGAGCACTTCAAGCTAAGAAAGTCAAAGGCTAAGTCATAGTAATACCTTTTTGCGAAGAACTCCACGACGTTCGCAACCATCTCGAGCGATTCCTAATCGGATAGCGCAACGTTCACAATCAGCGAATCAAAATCGCGCGATTTTCCAATCGTCTGCGACAGTACGCCTCCCAATGCTAATCTTTGGTTCGCTGCTACTGCTGCTTCAGTAACAGTAAAAAAAGAACTGCGAAATTTTGCAGCGGTTCAACGACTATCGGAGGAGCGCGGTCGGCCCCAGTCACGCGACAGAATCGCTAGAGTTCGCAACCATGAACATTGCCTATTCGGCTCCGCTAAGGTGCTGCAGTGACAAGCGGCACCGCTTGCATATGCCGAGTCAATGTCAGATTCCTGATTGACCCTTCACGAGTATAATACGGTCTTACCTTCTCCTCTACAGCTAGCCAGTAGGTAGCGGACTTATCGGGTTAACATAAGACGCTGACTTGTAGGTCCACAAGTTAGTGTATTGCTTCAATCACATTTGGAGTTGAGGTGAACATTTTATTTCTTATAATGGAACCAGTTTCAGGATCACCAGCGATCAATAAAGAAAATCAATGCCTTTGGTGATCTTTCCGACTGGTGTGCAGCAGCAAATTTTCCGAGTAGGAATTTTCAGTGGCACTCATTTGGTCACTAACATACTCGTGCTTACTAACTGATCGTAGTTCTAGGCTGAAATCTAGTGGTGGGACCTAACGTGAGCTTATCTTTCACTACAAAGGAATTTTCACATGTTCCTCGGATAACGCCAGAAATGCTAGAGGTACTAGGCTTTAGGAGAGACAGTGTGCGAGTCTTGAGTTCTGAGCCATGGTTAGGCCTTGAAAACTGACGAAAAGGTCGAAGCGTTGGCCACCTAGAAACCTCGCAGCAGAAACAGAAGAACAGAACAGTTTCGAGTAGGAGTTCAAGCCAACAACCCTAGTTGATGAGAAGACAAGCAAAAACCTGCGGTGCAAGCTGAATAGTTTGAAAGGCGCGTTGCTTTCGAAGAATTCACGGGATATCGATCACTGCCAAGAACCAAGGGGTTTCACCCTACCGGATTTGTCAGTCGGAAGCAAGAGAAGGTTCATTAAGGAAGGAGAATCGCATAGCTGAATATCGACCGTCCCCCTAGGCCATCGCACGGCCCTCACTCAGTGATTTCATTTCGGAGGTTCAAAGAGACGATTAACGCCGATGTTATGGCGAAGACGTGGGTGGAGACACATAACCACTGTCCTTCTCCGTTGACACGTCTCTACTATCAGTGGTGTCAGAAGGGGGAGGGGCACCCAGGAGTAAAAGGCAATAATGGAGTGTTTCCAACCATGTCTCCACCCCCACAATTGCCGTGGACCTTTTACCATTAAACGATGCTATTCCTTCTGTGTGTGTACTAATAGTTGAATGCTCTTCAGATTTCTCTCACTCCCTACCATCACCGAAGCAAACGACGAGATACCAACGCCGATCACAAAAGTCCTATCAGGACTTAGAGATACGGTATGTTTTTAAAGTTACGACTCTTGCACTTCAGACTTGTCACTGTTATCACCTCAAATTTCGTTTTCTACCCAGCAACCTTGCTAGCCTAAGTCACGACAGGGAAAATTCGGAAAAAGGGAAAATGTGTGTTCGACGGCGACACATTCAATTGCGATTGGTCGCCTGACTCCAGCTCCACCCACTTTGCAAGCAATTCGCCAAGGGATGTATTGAAACTGCCGAAAACTTGTTGCAACACGTCCTGAGGAAACAGCGCAAGGAATATTGTACAAACGTTCGGAGGAGAGAAGCAAGCCATATAGAGAAGCAAGCATATGGTCTTGATTTTGAATGAAGTTCTGAATATGATCTCCGCGGAGGTGAGGTTTGGTGCGACGCCAGTTCGATTTCCAGCAGTTGTTGTCACTTGCCCCTTCAGCAGCTGGAGGAGGACAGGGCACATCGTTGTTGGGGATTCCCCAAGCAGGGGGTC